GGATGAGCGACTGGCCGTTCTTGGTCACCGGAACCAGGTAGACCCCCACCAGCACAAACCGGCCTTTCCCGAGTTGATCGTCTGCCAGCATGAACGGTCCCGCGGTGTCGATGGACAGCGCATAAGCTTCGGCATGTGGGATCCGCTTATGCGCCCTGCCGCGTGATGCAGCGATGACGCAGGACTTGCATTCTCTGCCAAAGGGCAGATGCTCATTCAGAAGATGTCTCTTCCAGGCGTCAATGTCCATTCGCTTCACCCGGAACTCGGAGGAGTTCAACGTCTCCCACGGATGGCGGTCCGCAGTGCTAGCTTCAAGCCAGGCGCCCATGTAGACCAATCCTTGCTCTGCTTGATCCTCTCAGTCAGGTTTCCTCCGGGCATGTCCCATGGGCCCCTGATCGAAGCTGACCTCCATCATTCCCCATCGATCTCTGAAGGCCTTCCATTCAGGCCAGCTCCAATACAATGGGTATCGCTGGCCCTCGGCCTCTTCAGGCTTGATATACTTTTCTGGGTGCTCCGGCTGCTCCAGAGCGGACAAAGTCGGCTTCGGGCCTCGAGCTAGAGCGGCTCGATGATGAAGATAAAGCTGGCGCAGGTTAACAAGACCGTGTCATTCCGAAGATATCGATCCAGTTGCGGCAGTCCGAACCGATAAGGCCCTTCTCTCTCCCTGAGTGGAGGTGGACCAGGCTGCTTGAACCGCAATCTGCTCATCGTCCGGCATGGAGGACCTCCGAGTAGGGTGCACACCGTGCTACTGTCGGCCAGATCGAGCAGGAAGGAGTAGATGTCATCCCTCAAGAGGTTGAGCCCCTGGTCAATCACTGTGTCAATGCACAGGACCACCCTGTTCTCCGCCTCAAGCTCCTTCTGCCAGAACTTTCGAGAGTCGCCGCTGAAGAGATGGATGATGACCTCCTTGGCCTTTCGAACCCGCCTTCTCTCATGCCTATTCCATGGGAGGCCTTCGCCTGTCCACCCTTTCTTTGGCAGCAGCCTTTCCAGGATGTGGTGTGGTACCTCCAGGAAGAGGTTCTTCAACTCTGTCAGATGCTTCGCCTCCTCGGGGTCCACCCCAGCCAGATGGGCCAGCCGAGCTCTCTCCCGTACCATGCTCCTTTCGATCTCCTGGATCAGCTCGTGGGCCAGCGCCTCGTCGATCGTGTCGGATCTGTGAGCTCGAACCTGGTCTTCTCCCAGACCGCCTCGTAGCCCAAGGAAATCAGCACCCCCAGCGGTACGATGACCTGCACGTCCTCCTTGGTCAGCAAGGTTCTCGTCCAAGGAAGCAACCTCAGGACCGCCGACCCTGCGGCCAACTCTACGTTGACTTCTTGGGCGCTTGCCCATTCCTCTTCCGAACATGTTCTCCTCAAACAGTGGGTGGCTCCCCCATCGAGAAGTGCTCTTCCTCCTTCTCGAACCTCTAGGCTGCTCAGGCGAATGGCCTTCATCGATGAACTTGGCCTCAGACTCTTCAGTCACGTGGTGGCTTCATTCAACAGGTCCTTCATTTCTCCAGAAGTTCCCGCTCCCTTGTCGCCTTCGCTGGATTGGCTGTGCTCCACCGGCTCACTCCCCCCAGTCTTGGGCCCAGCGTCGCCCGTGTCCCCCTTGGCCTGGATGGTCGTAACCTTCTCCTTGACGGCCTTCACAGCTTGCTTCTCCGGCGACTCCTTCATCTTCGGCTTCGCAGTCGGGCAGTCTTTCTTCGAGTGGCCAGTTCCCGAGCATCCGAAGCACCTCCCCTTCTTTTCCAATCCACTCCAATCATGCTTGAAGCGGCAATCTTGTCCTTTCCGGCACCCATCGTCAGTGCCCCAGAATCGACATGGTTTCTCCTCGCTCAGTCCCTCAACTCTGGCCTTCACAGCAATTTCTCCACCTTCTCCTCCGCCACAGCTGTCATCGCCTTGACCTTGGTGACAGGGTTCGAAGGTTTGATCTCCGGAGGTGGTTGAACATCGCTGATGGCCAGTGATTCCGCCTCCGCCGTCAGCATGTCCGAGAAGCTGAGGACCGTCTCGAGAGTTGGAGTCGCATCAACTCCCAGGGTCGCCCTGGTGGATGACATCCGGAATGCCACCTGGTTGGAGGTCTTTCCCACCAGCTCCGACATCTTGTCCAGCGCTCCAAGCAAGAGGGTCGCGTCCGGAGTGGCAATCTCTAGCTCTTGAGCTCTCCTCAAGCTTCTCCTCCAGCCGCGAAGCATCTCCACCACCTCGTTCATCGTCTGCGGTGTCTTGGGCTCGACCAGCTGTCGGAGAAGTCGAGATCGCTCAGCCAGCCCTCCCGGCTGATACCTCCGGAACAAGGCATAGAGGACACCCACCGAGTTGGAGGCCCGGTTCGCCAGCATCTCAGACCTGATCGAAGCTGGCACCGCGTTGAGAAGCATCAACTGTCCTCGCTGCTCCAACCTGCTCCACACGGTGTTGCACTCGCGAGGCATTTCTGCCTTGATGTGAAGCCTCTGAACCGGCTCCGCTCGAAGCCATTCCCGATAGGCCATCATGGCCCACTGCATCACCTCTTCCCACCACCTCCATGAAGTAGCGCTGAGGTCTCTCATCGTCGGGGAAATGAGCTGGATCCAGTCTCCCAGGACCAGTCATCCCAACTCTCCTTCTCGTAGATCCTGAAGCGGCGGCAGTTCGACTGACCTGCCCAATTGCCTCAGAACAGATTGGGCAGCTTGTTCAAGAGGTGAGCCCTTGCTCAGGTTTCCATTCCGTACTGCACAGTCAGGTAGTCCTCCGCGTCCAGGTCCTAGCCCACCTTGGGTTCCGGGATATGGAGTCCCTACCACTTCCTTCCCTTCATAGCTCTGCCCCTGCCCTCCTTGGTGTCCAGCTTGAAGTGCTCCCAACCAAGATTCCGGTACAGGTGGAGCACCACGTCCGGTATCATGACATACTCCAGGATTCCATTGAACTGGATCATATAGTCTCCCAGGTTCCCCTCGTCGTTCATTCCCTGCGAACTCTGGGATCGCTCCGAGGGAAGTCTGCAACCTTCTTCTTCAAGTCCGCCAACTCCCTCTTGAGCATCGAATTCTGAGACTGAGGACTTCTTGAATGTCCACCCCCATCTCTTCTCCACCAGATGCCGTAGGTCTCGTCGTCGATGTAGATGCCTCCGGAAGCCCTGCAGGCCGCATGGCACGTAGCGTGGCTTCACCCTTGACCGTCTGGCTCCAGAAGGGGTTGACTTCCACCTGCCTTGTGGTTCCATGTCCCTTTCCGTCCTTCTTCGAACGACCTTCCTCTCTCCGTTGAGGTCCGTAGGTGGTAGGAGGTCCGTGGGGTAGGAGCTCTCGCGTCGCCACCACCAGCGCGCCCTCGCTCGCCGCGATGTCCTCGATCGCCAGCGCCACCTGGTCCTCCTTGGCGCTCTCCATCGAGGATGTCGCCTCTGGCGAGTCCACGCCAGCGCCGCCAGCTGCTCGAGCCATGGCGGCCAACAACTCGTGGATCCACACGATCCGAACGAAGTGGTCTTACAACCCTCGAAAACAGCTTGGGCCCATAACCTACGTGAGCGTGCCGCTCCTTTTCTGCTTTCAAAAAGGGCTTCAGATGCCAAAAGGTCGTGACCCGGCTGGTGCGTGCTACGCTTGATCATAGCCAGAAGGTCGTGACCTAGCTGGTGTATGCTACACTTGATCATAGCCAAAAGGCCTTGACCTAGCAAAAACCGAACTTGGTACACTTCTTCATTTGTGCGGGCTTCCACAAATCCAACCCAGAAGCCTGGGCCAATCCTTCGAAAAACTGCAACTCTTTGTCTGGAGGAATCCTTTCCTCTCACTGGAAGACAGTGAACTCTTCGATGATAAGATGAAGAAGATGAGGCAAATGAGGCGCTAAGCGACTCGGAGTCCGGGTGAAAGCTACGAAGTGGTTGTTCACATCTCTCTGAGAACTTTATGCCAGCAAAAAAACTTGGGTGATTGATGGCTAAATTGCTTTCAGTTTCGGAGGGCCCTCCAGTCGGTTGGGCTTCTTCTTGTTCACAAATGGAAGTTGATTGAAGCATTTGCATGTTTTGATCCTTATGTGAAATCATAAATTAATCCGTTCATGCTCGCTAAATAGCCGAATCTGGGGGACCTCGTTTTTGTTGTCAGTGGAGGCGATTGATTCAGGAGCATCTCCTGGCAAATGACGTAAAAGTAGGGCAATCACAAGCCTCCCAAGTTTATTCAACATGAGAAACATGACCGAAACTGCGGTTCCCTCTGTGTATTTCTTTTGCACCCCATTCATTTCTCCAACACGGTCTGATCTATTTCCATGACGACCGATCCCAGAACTGGGGAAGGTGCAGGTGCATTCTTTGAGGAGTCAGATTTGCGCACCTTAAGAGGTTGGTTTGAATGTTGACAAGGATGACAAGTGGTGTTACGCATGTTTGGGGGGTAAATAGGAGGCTGTTACTAAATTTCTTCCCATGCCTTTATGTACACTGCTTGGAACATCACAAGATCATAGCACATCTTGGAAGAGCGTCCATCAACTTGGCGGAACACATCTGTCCCCAGTGGCCCTGGCTTCTGACTCGGGCTCGACGTCTCCAGGGATGTGGGAGACATCGGTGACATCATGCCCTTGAGATCCTACGAGCAACAGGTGGGAGATAGATACAGGCGATGCCACATTTGCATGTTCTGAGGCATTTGCTCATTTTTGAAGTGGGCAGCAGGTGCAAGTGACGAAACACGTGCATTTTTCCAGGAGTTTGGCACATGGACATCCAACACTGTTTTATGCATATTGCCAAAGGGCATTTACCTCGCTAGGAGCACCCCTTCTGTTTGTTAAAATACGCGTATGCACCCCAGGATGCTTTTTGAAGTTTCGAGTTTGAAGCACCAAACATCTTGCAACACATGTAGCTCAGTATAGAAACCGATGCAATTGAGTGGACAACCACATGCTCCTTTTCCTTGCTTGCAAGCATACTTTCAATCATATAGATTCGTAGACATTGGAATGCACGTTTCTTTGGAGGTGTTTCTACATCTACATTGCGACATCACGCGCGTCTGGTATTTGACGACACCGGTTTACCAAATTCAGACACATTTCCCGCTGCACTGCCTACCTACAGGAAAAGGCTCATTGAATCGGTGCCATACGTGTAGCCGCAGCGATTGTGGGCCGGATTTCTCCTTGCTTCCAAGTCACACTGTTTTACGGCTGATCCTGGGTTGCCTAGAGCGCCTAGAGCTTCCATTTACATTCCAGGAAATCATCAAAGATCTTGTGAAATCACCAGAGATCACTCCAAACCACTGGAAATCACAGCTGAGCCTTTGGGTTCTGAATCCTTTCCTTGACCAGGTCTTGGGTGCACCCTTGATTGATGTTCAGAGCAAAAAGGTCACGGCCCACAAGGGCGACGATTCAGGCGGAGTGGGGGGAGCTGGGGAAGCAAGTGAGGTCCAGTGCAGTCCTCCATCCAGCATTTTTCAGGTCATTTGCCCGCTTCAATTGCCAAGCAGTGGCACTCGCTGGCTCCAAGTCACCCGCCAGGTGCTGAAGACGAGGAGGAGGCCCGTTACCACGGACCAAAAGGGAAAGGGCCGAAGGGCGAAGGGCCGAAGGTGCTGAAGACGAAGAGAAGCAGGTGCTTGGCCTGTAGGATGCACAAGGGCCACAAGGGATCAAGGAGAACCACACCTATTAGTAGCGTTGTTGTTACTAGTAGTAAGGCCAGGAGCCCCTAGTAGCGTCCTTGCTCCTAGTAGCGATGCCCTTTGCTCCTAGTAGCGTTCTTGTTACTAGCCCATGTTTTATCCCTTTGCTGACCAGAGGCTTCACTTTGATCCACTAAGGCTGATGGTATTGGCAAAGGCATCTATGGTCAGCTGCTCAAGTCCGACCCAGCTGATGCAGAACAAAGTCGTATTCAAAAACTGCGCTGTATTCAGAAACTAGTCTTCAGAGACTATTTCGTTGTATTCAGAAACTATTTTCGTGGTATTCAGAAACTATTTTCGTCGTATGTAGAAACTACTTCGTCGTATTCAGAAACTATTTCGTCATATTCAGACACTATTTTCTTTGTATTCAGAAACTATTTTTGTTGTATTCAGAAATTATGTTCCTCGTATTCTGTAAAATTTGTGGGGGTGGGGTGGGTGGGTGTGAGGGCAATAAACATAGGTGGGTAGTTGCGTGAAAAGTTGATGATCTCCGTGAATAGTGTTGGTGTTTTCTTAGTAATTTCCGAACATTAGTTTCCGAATACAACCGTCCAGTTTCCGAATACCAGTTTCCAAATACAAATTTCCGAATTTTGTAGTTTCCGAATACAACCGTCCAGTTTCTGAATACAACCGTCGCAGTTTCCGAATACAACCGTTTATAGTAGTTTCCGAATACAACCGTACCACTGATGCGAGCTCTGTGTGACACCATGCAGTTTAGTGTTTCCGCGAACTTGAAGGATTTGTGTATCCTCGCCTCCTGCTAACAGGATAAGAGTTCTTGTGGACCTCAAGCAGCTACAACTATCAGCCAGTGGATGTGTTTGATAGGCATCCAAATGCAGCAAGCCATGTTCCATCCCCGATCAACTCCACTCCTCCGGATCAATCAATGCCGTTTCCCCTTAGGCCAATCCATGCCGCTCACGGTGCCCTGGGTGACCTGGCCAGGGCCCCAGTGTGCGATCGTCGATGGGGTTTGGTCCACCTCCCGCTTCAAGGGTCCAAGGGTTTAGGAGGGACACACCGGGGAAGAGCACTCAAAGTTGTCTTTTGCAAAAAGAACAAGCAATGAAAGCTCGATTTGACATGTGGCCTGATGAACAGCAAAGAGCCTTGATTAAAGGTCTGAGAGTTCCAGGCTGCACCTATTCACTCATGGAGGGACGATCACATAGCCGAGGATGAGAGGGATTGGGTAATCAGAATGACGTAAACATTAGGTTTGAAGGGGCGCAACAGCAAAATTCATCGAGGGACGAACCCCTCTCAAAAGCGGAATATCTTTTGGATGCGCTCTTTACTTTGGACCCGAGAACTCCAAAGCTCTCATTTGCAGACAGGCGGATGACCAAAAACCTTGGTGCCCATTGAATCTGGCCAAAACACCCTCCCAAACAACAGCACTGGATGGATGGAGCCAAGAGGTGTTCTTTATGACGTTGGCCGAACTCAACAGCGCACAGGCTCAAGAGCGCATGGGCTGGAAATTCAAAGTCATGCAAAACTGGCACAGGCTCAAGAGTGTCAAACGTGTCCAACAGCAGTAGTGGCACAGAGTGGCACGTCGTGTATGACCCAACCTGTAGGCACACGTCGTCACACGTCCACATCCTGGCTTTACATCCCTTTGCACTGATGGATCCAAGCGAGCAGTGGGCATTGACATGGGATGACTTGCAAGAGATTTATCAGGAGTGTGAAAAGGCCGAATTGGATACAAGATGTCTATTCCACCGAATTGCCAGAAGACCACTCTTTAATTAACTTGAGACGAGTCAAGAGCCTGCTTGCCATCCTCATCCAAGTTCCCACTCCATCTGCGACAGAGGCCGGCTTTGGTGTGGGAAGCTTTGGGCGCTTTGTGGAGACCGGGACCTTCCTCGGTCAGACCGTGGTGGCGCTCTCCGCGCACTTCTCTGAGCTCCACAGCATTGATTCTTGGTGAACAACCAGTGGGCCTTGAACGTTCGGGGATTTAGGTGATTCCACTGTGCTTCACAAATCCTTGAACTGAGGAGCTCAGCCGGGAGTGCTTCGAGGCTGCAAAGCTTTTTGCCTGGAAAGCACAGCGTCCCATCCACTTCCACCAGGGCCACTCCACCAAGGTGCTTCAGGCCCCCCTCAGGGCGTTTGGACGGGTGGCCTAGGGAGACGGACTCAGATGACGGAAGAACGTTGCGTCAGAGTGGTGTGGTGGGTGAATGCTTTGGTTCTTGCTGGGAGGTGTGCAGCAAGACTTGCAGCCACAGTAGCAAGTAGCAGGCTTCGATTCCCTGGAGTTATGATGCCAAGTATCAGTACACCCACGCTGACATTGCAAGGCAATACTTCCGAAGTTGAACGGCCCCACGGTGTTCTACTTGGATGCGCATTTTTCGGGCTCGGTGACTGCCGGACTGGAAGAGAAGGTACCTCTCCCGGAGGAGCTGCTTTTGATATCTGAGCTTTTTCCTCATGCAGCTTTGGTGACTAGGCCAAAGAAGATCTGGTGACCTTTGCACAACTGATCTTCTCACTAGCAGGACACAGTGACGTACTTGGGATTGAGTAGTTTTTTGCCAAACAAAGACCGCCTAATAGATCACACAGGAATTTGGCCAAGCAAGGCATGTGTAAAGTACATATTAATACATTATATATATATATATATGCAGATTTTGGAATCATGAAGGTCTGCATTCATATTTATCACAACATTCAAGGGGTCAAGCGCTCATACAGACAGCCTTTCAGAAATAGGCTTCGCGGTCGCTGCGTCTGTGTGCTTCGCATGGTAGTGGAGCCCGCCCCCTCAGATCGAACTAGGCCAGGCGATTCTTTTTCCAGGGCTTTGAGGAGGAGGTCTTTCGTCGCTGGAGAGAGTATGTCCGTTCAGCTGATCTCTACATACCATATAGAAGAGAGGCTGCGCTGAATTATGTGGAGACCTTGGAGTGGAAGAAACGAAAATTGGCTGGTCCAAGGTTGCAGGCTCTTGCGGAAGGTGCCGCAAAACGCAGTTCAGCTCCGACTTTTGAAGACAAGAGTTCAAGCACCTATATGAGCAGAAGCTGCAAGAGAAGGGTAGATGCAGGAATGCCAGGACTTTTCGCTCGAGGCATGGCGGACCTTGGCTGAGCCTATCGAGGGTATGGTCGGGGATATTCCAGTTGAAGTGCGTCACTCATTAAGATACCGTTTCGCAAAAGCAGACAGTGCCGGAGCGCCGCGACTCACGCGGGGGTCCCACAAGGCTTCACATTCTTCTGACAGTCGGCGACTTGATGGGAATACCGTGCCGAGTATGAAGAGTGGTGCCAACAGGGCTGAACGATTCTGACAAGTGGACTTGCGTGTCTTGGGAGAAAGGTTGAGTTGACCTTGGGACTTGACATGCTTCCATGGAGAAATCCACAGAAGGAGCTTCAGATCTACAATGACGGCAGATTCTGACGTGCTATGATCAAAGCGCACGGTTGACCCATTCCGAGTGTTGAAACTGGAGATGGCGCCCGGACTTGAAGGTTTCATTGGACCCGTGCGTGTGTTGGCCACGGAAAGGAAGCTTGATAGCAGCGGACAACGATGCCCAACGCAGCGCGTGTGACTCTTCTGAGTCGTTCGCGGCTCCAAACCTTTGAAGGCCCACTCCATTGGAGACGTGCCAGTGAGCGAGCGAAAGGAAGCGTTGGCTTAACTTCAAGCAGGCACCCTGACACAAAAATTTGGAGATGATAGTCAAAGACCTGTGACGACCTCACTAGAGAAGAACTGCTGTTTCAAGAAGAAGCCGACCAAAAAAGTCTTTGGCAATGATTCCAGATACTGTAGACCATCACCTTTGAGAGCTGCGGAAGCAAGTGAAGTTTGAAGCGGCGATGGCAGAACATGCTTTGATCGCTATGCAGCAGAAACGCAGCTTTCAGAGGACTGCGTGGTTGCACTCATAGCGAGTGGCTTACCATCAGGCAACAAGAGTGGAAAGGGAGACTGGGTGCCTCACTTGCCAGAAAACCTCGCGCCAGCAGAGATGGAACGTTCAGAGAAGCCAAGTTGCCAAAGACAAAGGAATGCCATCCCACATATTCAGAACCCTGACAGGTCAACCAGTCAGAGATGGACAAAGGCTCCTGCTGTTATCCTCGGCTACTAGACTTCACTGTAGAACCATGAACGGGGACCGACGTGGCAAATTTTCAGTGGGGACGTAGAGAAGGCTGCGTTCGACCAATGTCAGACCCTTGTTGCTGGGGACTTTTCGACAACCAAAGTCAGCCCAAGATTTTTCGTAATAGCAGGTTGGCAAAAGCAGAAGTCTGATGGCATGTCAACATGTCAGCAAGCATGACAAAAGGCCTGAACCGTGACGTGTCAGCGCTATACACCGGAACTTGGCAGCCTGCTCCCAGTCTCCGGAACCACCTCCAAAACCTGGTTCGGAACCTGTTCCGGAGCTTGCTCGCGAACGTGCGCCGGAAAATCTGCTTCGAAACTGACCGCAACGAACCTATACTCTGGAACCTGAACTTCTCTCCACAACCTGCTAGCTTGCTCCGACCTGCTCCGAAGTCTTTACTATGGAAGCTTTGCTGTTGGGGAACTATGGCTGAAGACCCCTAAAGCCTTGCTGTGGGGAATAAGGCTTTAACCAGGACTCTCACTGGGCTCCATCGCTGATTGTCCTGTGTGCCACGCAAGAATCTTAAGAACACTCCTGGGTGGCTATGTTGTCCGGTTATGGAAACCATTGTGCGTTCGCACACGCCTCTGAAACTTCGTTCTGACCGCCACAGGCACAGTATGCATCTTCTCACCGGTGTAACTTGTCCTGTCCCGCTTCCAGTTTGCGCTGCTTTCACATGTTGCCAGGAATGGCCGTCTGAGTCTGATTGTCTTCTAAACGGACATGGGAGCAAATTCATGCGACTAGCTGAGGTGTTGCCACTCCGACAAGCTGCCATGTTGGTGTGTTGTACATGTAGAACGCTGTCACACAGACGTGTATAGACACGTTGTTGTGCATGGTTGCCATGGTTAGATTGATGCCGGCATGGTGTTATGTTGGCACGTTGTCAGGCTGTCATTGACGTATTGTCATACTCGCGCGGGTCACGCTAACATGCTAACACGCTGTTGCGTTGGGATGACAAAATTGTGTCATGTTTGAAAGCAGTAGTGTCCGACAAGCGCACGCCACTTGTTAATAAACAAACAAATTGAGCAAATTTACCAACAGATGCCAAATGTTGCCATTGCAAACTCAGCAAGAGCAATGACCTTGGAGCAGATCCGCGCAGGTCCACCGAAGCAGCTCTGCAAGTTCTGGAGCAGGATCCGAAGCAGGCCTCGGAGCAGGTTCTGGAGACTGGGGCCAGCTTTTGCTAATCTGCCTTCACGCTGCTGTCACACAGACGTGCGTAGACACGTTGTCGTGATTGTCATTGTTACGTTCATATGCCGGCGTGGTGTTACACTGGGGCGTTGTCAGGCTGTCATGTTGACACCTTGTCATACTGGCATGGGTCACGCTAACATGCTAACACGTTGTCGCGTTGAGATGCGGCAGGTGGGTCATGATTGAAAACAGTAGTGTCAAATAAACACACGCCGCTTGATAATGAACTTGCGCATCTCGATGCCATTTAGTGCCATGACTAAATCAGGAAATTCATGCCCAGGTGTTGGGGATTTTCCTTGGGTCCTTGGGCTTATCGGCAAACAAACTTTTTCGGATAACCAAACTCCAAAAGGCCCACACACTGGTGTGCAGTCACTGGAGTAGGACTATATGCTCACCGCATGGGCCGATGCCGCGCACGACGAAAAACCAAGTCGAGGCAGTACCAAAGGAGTTTTGCGTGATGTTGTTTAAAGAGTGTGCCCCAGGGCGACTTTGTTGAAGTAAATCCCATATTCTTGTGTTCATCCAAGATAGCCCGTGTTTATCGTTCGATCTCATCAGCAGAAACTCGAGCGGCAGTTGATGGGGACGATCAGTTGTTCGCTCTGTGTTTTCAACTGGCTGAATACCTGGGACCCCACGCCTCTGTGAATGGTCAAAACCATCTTGCGAACAGCCTTACCAAACTCACGGCGAACCACACCAGCTGTTGATATTTTCCAGAAATTGTTTACGATGAAGGTCTCATTTCCGGTTGACGAGAGGAACCAGCAAGGTAAAGGCCCACTTGATTGAGAATGGCGTCAAATTTTTCAATAATCCGTGCAGATTTTGAACCGTCCACATTCATATCAGTCCCGCTCATTCATTTGGGTAAGCGCCCCATAGACTTTTCCAAATAGGTTTCACTGTCGCTGCGCCTGTGTGTTTCGCACAAACACACACACCTATTTAAGGGATTTGGACTGTACCGAACCCGGGCGAGGTGATCATCGACGACCTGGATCTTTTCGCCCAAGTGAACACCTTTGAGGCTATCGACGGTCGAACTGGGGCCTTCAGTGGTCGACATCCAAGTGATTGGCGATCGATCACTTGTGAGGCACTGGAGAGGAGTTCCAGCTTTCGTTGCTTCGGCTCGTTCAAGGCGCATCGTTGGATGATGGCAAAACAAAATAATCCATGATCCGAGACAGGGATTAGAAGGCTAAGTGCCCGAATCCTAGTTCTAGAAGCCGTGCCTTCCGGTGTTTTTTTCTCCATGTAGGTCTCATGCATAGGGACACTGTATTGGATTGAACGATTTTTGTCTGCACATGATCGCTTGTGGTATATTTGGATGAATCAAGGTTGGGGCTCTAAATATTCCTGGAACGTGACCCTTCTTTCTTTATGGGTTTACCGACCTATCTCGTTCTGATTCCAATCCAGGCGAAGAATCGCTTCATCCTGCAGCTGCGGGCCGATGGCAAAGGGGGGATCGACTCCGGCCAGGACAGAAGCAGCCAGTTCAACGCAGCCTTTTCATCTGTAGGCCTGTAGAGCCAAGAGGGGATAACAAAGATTGAGAACTGTTTTCCGATTCTGGTAGATCTTCAAGACAAGTTTCGACTCATCAATCTGAATCCTTCCATGTACTTGGAAGGTGCTGTTTGCCCGGACCTGGTGCACAGACAAATGGATGCCCAGCATCCTGACCGCGAAAAGCATTGGGTCTCCTTTCCCGGGCTGCGCTTACAATCCGAAGTTTTGGAGAGGGTCCGGTCCCAAGGACAGTGGTGGCGACAGATTGTGAGCGCCATTGAGAAGGAGTCCTCGAATCATTTGGGAAAGGCCTCTGCCAATTACAAAGAACTCCAAGAGCAAATGACTGCAGAAAGGACGAAAACTGCCAAGCTCTGTGAGAAATCTGTTGAGAAGAAGATGACCCGCAAGGAGTGTATCGCGCTGCATGACGATCTACTGGAAGCTTACATGAACAAGGATTTTCAGGACAAGATCAAGGCCGCTTGGGCAGCAGCTGATGGCAACAATGCCAAGCAGCAAAAAGCCAAGCGCCAGCTTTGTCTACCACTTCAACTTCCAATCATGGCAAAATATGGCTTTGAGGCCTCTGAGAAAGGTGTCTTCGCATGCCTCTGGGCGGTTCGAACCACATTTTTCAACTTCAAAAGGCCGGAGGAGTTTGACAGAGAACTCACCTTGAGGGCCGCCCTTTTGGACTTCCTCGCCCCTGAGCGAGAAAGAGAAGGGAGGTTTCTTCTTCAGAGCCCTACCATCCACACTGCAGTTAGTGATGCCACAAATGCATTGAAAGTCCTCTTCTCAACTCAAATGTGTTGATGGTTCACAGGGAATGCTCACTATCACTCCACTAGCAAGACTCAGCAAACATTAACGATCTTTCTTGCAAAACTGTCTGGTCCGCTCTTTGACTTCTGTCCAGCTGAGGTGAGTCCTGGCCATTCGCTCCATCCAGAGGTTGCCCAGTGGGCCGTGCAACACTACGCGGCCACGCCGGGCGCCGGCGCTGTGTGGAAGATGCGGAAGGTCCAGACGTAGCGACGGTCTCCAACCTAATAGCGATGGCATCCACCCTCGTAGCGATGGCCTGTTCGGCCGATGGGGTCGGTTCGGCTGCTGTGGGGGCTGCCCGCAGTCGGCCTGGCACAAAGGCTTCAGACCCGTGGGTGGCGAGGCGTCAAGGTGACCGCGTGGGCACATCACCTGGCTTGCGACAATGGTGGTGACCTCTTGGCAAGTGCGGTGATGTTCAACCAGCCGATATTCATTCCTTCAGCCATCGCCCTCGCGTCACACACTGCACGGCATCTTGGTGCTCTTGGTTGCAATGGCTGAGGGAAAACTCGATGCGCTGTGGACCTTCTCGGCGTGACCCAGAGGAGACCTTGTTGAGCAAATTCAAAGATGTTGCTCCGGACAGACTGCCATCCTTGGTCTGAAAAAAATGTCGTGTGGATGGCCGGGGCCACCGGGCACGTTCTGGGAGATCCACCCGATAATTAGGGTTCCCGGTTTCCCTCTCGCAGGAGGACCGGAAGCTTTGCATTTCCCTTTTTTACATGCTTCCATCAGCTCCATCGGGGGTCTCTTGGTCGCTGAGGCCTCATCGACAGACCCTCTGGAAGCCGGCGGTGGATGAGGACGGACCCAGGGTCTGTCGAAGCCACCGTAGACCGTGACTTAGGTCGCTGTCCTACCGGGCACCACGTGGTGCCGGCCATGGCGAAGCTCCACTCTATCGTTCTCGGAGACTTCAAGAATCATCGCTATAAACGAAGAATCTGATTCATTTGGCAACGGCAAAAAAATGAATTATTCCATATGATTCCACCTTGAAGCAATCATAGGCCCCCGCCAAGCTAAGTAAAATAGGAAGATTGGCTTTGGACATGTTTTGGCGAGCGCTCGCTACAGCCGGTAGTCATGCCCACATTGCAGGACGGCCATGCTGTCTTGACCCCGGACCCTGATGTAAGCTGTATGGCCGTGGCCTACTGCTTGCAGGCCGACAGACCGGCGGTGCGTACCTCGATCCTCACGACCTCTTTCGCGGCTCACCACTGTCTGGTAATGCCTAACTTTGCTCCTTCTTTTTGAGCCTTGGTCGGCAGTGGACTGCTGATTTTCCAGCAACCACTTGAAAACTGCCCTGTCGAAAGACTAGGTTCCGGTATCAAAAGATCTCTTCCAAGTTCCACGCAGACGCAAGGCCCATTGCAGGATGTTTGGTCCTCTTTCATAGTGAGGTTGTATCCAGCTTACGCCAACAGAATCCATTGTGAAAGTACGACTTCCGCCTATGCACAAATGTGCATTTGCAAAACACCATCTCCAAGACAATCCCAAGAACAGGGTCAATGGAATGCCCGAAGTATCATCAAACTCCCATGCACTGGTACTGTTTCTACTTGCTCGCTCACACCTCTCACCCTCAAGACACCTTGTCTTCCTTGTCAGAGGGGAGGCATTGTAGTTCTGCGCACCGGAAAGGCTGCCTTTGCAACTCAAAAGACGAGCCTCGATGGTGCGCTAACTCAATGAGCACCTCAACAAGATGCATTTCGATATTACGATTCTCCACCTGCATAAGCGGTTCACTTGTGGCCCCTCAGTGAGTGACTGGAGCTCCGGTGGGTCCAGGGCAAGACCTACGAGTACTACGAGGTTTGCGCCTCAGGGAGCAAGCAGGACTCAAGTAGGATCAAGGCAAGGTTTATTTCCCTACAAAACATGTCACCAGAATTGGGTCTTGGAAGGAGGTGAAGTGCTTGTAGCTCGGGTGAACAAGGGCGAAGAACGGTCTGTGGAGACTCTTCTTGGAGACTCGCCCGTTCAGCTGTAAGTTGATCCCAGACTTTCAGGTATCCAAAGCGTGGACGTGATTTTTATGCTTGGGATCATGATCTACAAGTCTGTGACTAGGAGTGGACATATATAGAATCATATCGTGTTACAGATACGGACCAGTTTCTTTTTTGTGGTTGAGCCGTTTAGAGAACATGTCATTGGAAAAATGACAGGACTTGACCAGACTGACCTGTGATTTAGCATCCGACTTGGGTTCAAGGGGGAAGGGACATAGCTGTCAAGACCACAACCTCATCTCATTGAAACACGAGAATAGTCACAATGGGCAGAGCTGCCCTCACTTCTGTCGAGAACCCGGGAGAGAGCTCATGGAATGCTGATTGATTTTGAATTGTATGACACGGCACCGTTGCCTTGATCGTTGGGATTGGACTCTTGGTATGTACTCGTACGGCATATACATCAACGTGCAGTGCTTATGTATGACGTGGGACTGTACCTTTCTGTCGAGAAGCAAAGCTCACTGGAAGAGAGGTCAAACTTGGAGGCAACACAGCAAGGAGTTCATGTTTGATTTCTGAGGACTGTTAAACATTGTTTCGCTGAAACTGTTTAGCTGTATTCACCTCAGCTATCAGGCTGCATGCGAATTGGAGATTGCTCGCAACGATGAAGGTACACCGGGCTGACGGTTGAGAAGAAGCTTGCACTTTCCAGCTACTGTCCAACAGTCCATTCCAAATTCCAAAGTCCTAGCAAGGGCCAAATGGACGAAACTAATCAGACCCCAAGGTACCAAACAAACATGTTGAACTTGTAACATTGAGATTTGGGGTGCGGGGTTCATGGAGACAACATGATGTTCTGGGGTTTGATTATTGTGTCCATCTACTGTAGTGATTCAAACATTTGGGCTATGTCACTCAAGCGGATTCAACTGCACAGGTTTGTTGATGGCCTGGTTTGTCTTGGGCATGCGCACAAGATTTGTAGCCGATCCCGCGCCTGGCCGAGACCAACATGGAACCTAAGGCGGTTAAGCTGTTTCCACAAAAGAAGACTCCTCTGGACTCATGTTGACCGTTGAACATGTTTCTTTTCCCGAACCCTCGAACCCCTATGAATGTTCTGACTTTGCATTTTGGGCTTCCATGTTAGAAAACTTGTATTATATATATATTATCAGGTGTCCATGGACCGGCAAAAACCAATTCGTGATCACCCACCTTGGCCTCCGGATGAAGCTCCCCCGCCGTAAAGGCGGGGGGAGCTTCCTTGAAGAACCGTGAGGACGCGCCCTCCGGCGTTCAGGTGGCCTAGCTGGCGAACGACCCTCTTTTACTTACTGCGACTGCTCTTAACTAGTTAGGTGCCCACTGAATCCATTCCGGCAGACGGTGAAAGGTGTGGATTGGCCTTCGAAGACTCCATCCGTACGCGACTCCACATGTCCTCGGCTCTTTCCGCTGCTCAGACCACGGCCGAGCGGCTGGCGCTGCGGGCATGTGTTTCCACACTCGACACCAGCATCACAGCAAGGGCCTGAAATTGGGGGCAGGCCAAAAGTTCGATGTCTGGCCAGGAGTTTGGCAAATTGACAAAGTTCAACGCTGCCATTTTGATGTGTTTCCACATCTTCCAAATGGTCATTTTGTCTTGCAAGCGGGTTAGTGATTTGATGGGTGGGAGGGGGTTCCAGTTCCAAGCCAACGACTGCTGACCTGGGGCACTCCGAGCATGCAGCTGCTTTTTTCTCCAAGGGCACTCCAGCAAAAACTGCTCGAGGATGCTGAGGTAATGCTGCAATGTACGACAGTGGGAAATCTAACATCATCCGACCTCATCTTCACGTGATGGGTTTTGCTCCAACATCATCCAACCTCCGCCTGGTCATTGCCAAGCCGATACCTCTGTGAGGTCTCAAAGCCTACGTCTTCTACTTGCGTTTTGTGAGTGGTAATGCACCAAGTCTGTTGGGTTTGGAGAGGCGAAGAACGACGGCTCGTCTATGACTAGACGAGTCAACAGGGGGTGATTGGAGAGGCCCCCCAATTCCTACCATTTTCCTGTGTTTCATAGATCATTTACATATTCTATCTTCAATGAAGAGCCTGCTTACTTATCTTCTTTTGGGATGTTCTGAGATGTGGGGAGGTGAGGAGATTTGGAGCTGGTTCGGCTCTAGTGATGTCTAGAGAGTCTAGTGGGTGCCCCTCGAGCCCCCAACTCCAGATTTGGCAGGGCTGAAACAGAGCTGATCGTGGGTGCGCCTCTTAAGCTTGTTTCCGGGCAGTATGGGGAAGACGGGAACTGCTTGATCCCGGAGATTGATCTCGTCACCACGGAATGGATCGGTTTCGGTGCAACTCCCTAAAACAGGTTCTGGGGACATCTATTTGGGAGCGATTGGTGGCCAGCCCGGGAATCCAAATCGCCGGGCTCTTGCAGAGAAGTGAGATGATGTTTTTAGGTGGACTTCTTGAAATCACGGTCGTTGCTTTTTCTTTTCAAGGTGATATCAACCATGGCGAGCTGGTGTTTGGGAAGCTGGACGTGCGAATGCTCAGCTGTGGGCATGAGAGGTAGGAGCCGAGCACGTGAAGGGGTCATATTAGGTGACGAAGGCCTATGTGGTCCCTAGTTATCAATTATCCTAGTTGATGCTTTTTGGGTTCCTCCGAAGGAACGTGTCCTGCCATTCGGTCTCCTGGTTCAGTGGTTCCCTAGTCCCTTGGTCTCCTTGCCCCAAGTCCCTTCATCTCCTATGGTCCTTTGGTCCCCTGGTCCTTTGATCCTGTGGTCTCGCACGCCCTGCTGCTGTTGTCCTTTCCCCAGTCTCCTTTTCCTTTCATTGCTCACTGCTAATATTTTTGCTTTTTGTTTGATCCCTTTCTTTTTTCATTTTGATCCCCGTCAAATATTGTTTATTGATGCTGTACTTATTCTTTTTGATACCTCACCCCAATTTCAGTCCCATGGACGTTAGGTCCGCCAGCCTGCCCAACGCCTCTGAGGATCACTCACCCATTCAAACGCCCACAGAAGTGGCGTTGCTGAACCGGAAGGAGAAGGCACTGGTTCCAGTTGAGGATGGAAGGAAAGTCTTGTTTGATCATAGTTACACAGTTACACATATTGGTTCCTGATGCACCCATGGCAGTACCAACTGCACGAGGACATGCTTGCCTTCCCCAAACCTGTCCTTTCTAGGATGCCTCCTATAATAAGTT